CAAAGACAAATCTAGGGTGAGAGGTCCTTGTAAAACGACCAACCCAGGGGGTATATATTATCTCAAAGGGAGACAGTAAAGATGGTTTCTTAGGGAGAGCTCTGATTCGAAGCAAAGCCAAGGGAAGGAGTTTGACCCAGTCTAAGTTTAATTCCATTGTCAATTTGGTAAGGACTTCCTTTAGAGTCTGATTTACCCTTTCCACTTTCCCTGAAGCCTGGGGGTGATATGGACAGTGGAAATGCCACTTGAAGGAGAGGGCTTGAGAGACCTTTTGTGTGATCCTAGAAATAAACTCAGGGCCATTGTCAGATTGTAAGGAAGTGGGCATACCAAACCTGGGGATGATGTCTGTCAGTAGGATTGAAGCTACAGTGGAAGCCTTTTTATTGCAAGTGGGAAATGCCTCAACCCAACCAGAGAAAGTGTCCACAAAGACAAAGAGGTATTTAGTGCGCCATACTGCATGTTGGTGAAGTTTACCTGCCAGTCAGCAGCAGGAATGTGTCCCCAGGCTTGGTGGGAGGGAAATGGTTTAGGCCTTAAAGGAGTATGAGGATTGGTCCGATGACAGATCTGACAATTGGAGGCTATATTCTGTAGCATGGCTTTGTCAGAGGGGGTGAGGGAGAAGAAGCTCTGTAAAAAGAGGGTCAAAGCCTGAGAATTGGAATGGAACAGAGTATGAAGGAACTCGAAAAGATCCTTGTTCTTACTGGAAGAAGTAGGGGCTTCAGATGAGCTGTCTAAAGTGGCCATTATATGTCCCCCAGGGGGGTCATAATTGGAAGTGGTAGCAGCCATCTGTGCAGCCTGGTCAGCTTTGGCGTTGCCCTCAGTGATAAGAGAGTCGTCCTTCTGATGGGACCAACTCCCAACTGGGTGGGTAAGTGGGAGGCCTCTATCAGATTGGTTATAAGAGCCGAATTAGTGATCGCATTACCTTTGGTGGTAAGTAGGCCTCGCTCCTTCCATATTGCAGCATGGGATAATAGAATATGGAAGACATATTTTGAGTCAGTATAAAGGGTGAGGGATTTGCCTTGCGCTAGAAGGCAGGCATGAGTGGCTTCTATAAGTTCAGCCTGCTGGTTGGTAGCTCCTGAAGGCAGAGCTTTGGCCTTATCTACAGCATATCCAAAGTAATGAGTGCCGTTCTGCCTAAAGGAACTGCTGTCAGTGAACCAGATAAGGTCAGGCTTTGTGAGTGGTCCCTCAGAAATGGAAGAATGGCAGGGGAGGAAATCATCCAAGGTTTCCAAGCAATTATGAGCTGGTGTGTCAGACGTGGGGGTCGTTGGGAGCAGTGAGGCAGGGTTCAGTGCAAAGCAGGGGAGGAACGTAATATTAGAGTTTTCCAGAAAGGAAGTGAGGAGTGACAGAACTCTGGATGGAGGAAGGGTTTGAAGGCCCTTATAAGCTAAAAGACCCTTCAAGTGATGTGGGGAGTGGATAGTTAAAGGGGCTCCCAAAAGTCAGCTTAGAGGCTTCTTTGTGTAAAATTTGTCCATCAGCCAGAGCTCTTAAGCAAGGGGCCCACCCACAGATGGTAGGGTCTAGTTGCTTGGACAAATATGCCACAGGTGCAAATGTAGGCCCATAGTTTTGACTTAAGACCCCAAGTGTTTGTCCCCCCTTTTCATGGATATATAGATGAAATGGTCTTGAAAGATCAGGAAGGTGAAGGGCGGGTGCCTTTAAGAGGAGTTGCTGAAGCCTGTGGAAGTGGTAGCGGGGGGAGGAGGCAAGAGATTCACTAGGGGGTCCCTTTGCTAGGTCATACAGGGGTTTGGCTAGAAGAGAGTAATTTGGGGTCCAGGCCCTACAATAACCTGCTAGTCCTAGGAATGATAGTATTTCGGCTTTCGTATGAGGCACCGAAAGATTAGAGAGGAGTTGCCTCCTATCCAGTGTTATTTCCTTTTTCCCAGGTGTAAGGTGAAAACCAAGATAGGTTACAGAAGACTGGGAAACCTGGGCCTTGTGGGGAGACAACCTATATCCCTTGTCCGCTAGGAAATTAAGAAGCTTGGCGGTGTGGGATTGAGAGTGTTCCCAAGAGGGACTACATAGAAGAAGGTCATCGACATATTGAAGGAGAGTAGAGTCAGGACAGGTGGGGTGAAAGGATGTGAGGTCCTGGGCAAGAACTTGGCCAAAGAGATGGGGGCTATCCCTGAATCCCTGCGGGAGGACAGTCCAGATAAGCTGACGAGAATGGCGGGTGTGAGGGTCAGTCCATGTGAAAGCAAAGATATCCTGAGATTCTGAGGACAAGGGAATAGAAAAGAAGGCATCTTTCAAATCAAGGACTGAGAAGTGGGTAGTAGTGGCAGGAATCTGAGAAAGGAGGGTATAAGGGTTGGGCACTAGTGGGTGGATGGGGACCACAGAGGAGTTGACAAGGCGAAGGTCTTGAACCAGCCTGTAGGACCCGTTAGGTTTCTTAACTGCCAGAATGGGGGTGTTGAAAGGAGAGTGTGTAGGCATAAGATACTCCTTTTGTAATAAATCCTGGATGATGAGTTCTAATCCGAGGAGGGCTGTGGTTGAGAGTGGATATTGTGGTTGACTAATATATCTTGAAGGGTCCCGTAAGACAATATGAATAGGATTGCATTTAGCCATAGAGGGTGTAGTTATGTCCCAAACCTCAAGGTTAACTGGTTTAGATAGTTGTGGAAGAGTGCATGAAGGAGGTGTATCTGCCCCTAGGAACATCATGAGGAAATGAGAGGTAGGAGAGGTGTGGGGTGATATGTGAATGGTGACTTTCAATAGTGAGAGTATGTCCCTTCCCAGAAGGGGAGTGGGGCAATGGCTCATAACGAGAAAGGAGTGTGTGAAGGACAAAAGGGATCCCTGCATGTAACATGATAAGGGGGGGGGGTTTCGAGGGAAAATCTGTTTACCTCCTACCCCAACAATAGGAGTTTTTGAGGGTGTGGTAGTACCCCAATACCCCCTCAAGACCGAAAAAGCGGCACCAGTATCTAAGAGGAAGGTAATGAAGCATCCATCCACCAGGAAGGTGACCCTAGGCTCTTGCTTCTTGATGGTAATAGTTGGGAGGGAAGGCCCAGGGCTCCGTCAATCCTCCTCTGCCAAGCCCAGGAGAGGCTGGGGTTGCCGGGTGGCTGACCAACCTCCCTTCCGGGTTGTTGGGCAGTCTGCCCCCCAGTGCCCCCTTTGATGGCATTTTGGGCAGGGGGTGGAGGGTGTCCTCGGCGAAGGACAATCCCTGGCCCAGTGTCCCTCCTTACCACATTTGAAGCAAGCTCCAGGGGGTGTCTTATTGGGACGACATGGTGATGACCTTCTCTGAATGATCTGGGCCACCATTTGGAATTTGGCGTTTTCAGCCCTCTGCTTACGACGTTCGCTTTTAGCCTCTCTCCTATGGAACACCTTGAAAGCGACCTCGAGGATTTCGGTCTGAGGAGTACCAGGGCCCTGTTCAAGCTTCTTAAGCGTGGCTTTAATGTCAGGGTAGCTTCGGGCCAGAAAATATGTCATTAAGACATGACGACCATCAGGGGTTTTTGGGTCCAGGTTTGTGTACTGTTGAAGGGCCTTGGTTAGTCTATCCAGGAATTCTGAAGGTGTTTCTTCCTTCTTTTGAATGACCTCCTGCACCTTTTGAAAATTAACGGCCTTGCGGGTGGCCTTCTTCAGGCCCGCTGAGAGGCAGGATGTAAAAAGGTCAGGAGACTGTAAGCCTCCAGGGGTGTTGTAATCCCATAGGGGATCCTGCTCTGGGACAGCATGAGGGCCCGTGTGGTGGTTGGGATTGGTCCTATGATTTTCATCAGCATGGGCTTGGGCTAGCTCCCAGACCCGTCGCCTTTCCTCGGGGAGAAGTGTATTGGCCAAGAGCATGTAGATGTCATGATGAGTGAGGCTATATGCTTGCAGGACCCATTGAAACTCCCGAATGTAAGTGGTGGGGTCGGTGGTGAATGAGCCTAGCTTCCTCTCTAGCTGAGTAAGGTCCGATATGGAGAAGGGCACGTGGACTCTGATGACACCCTCGGGACCAGCTACCTCACGAAGGGGTGCGATTGTCTTGGGGGTGGGAAGGGGTCCCTTAGACCTGGTAACAGGAGGACTGAAAGAGGCAGGAGGCAGACAGGAAGGAGAGAGAGGAGAAGGGGATGTCTCTGCAGAGGAGGAGGTGGAGCGGGCAGAAGAGGGCGGAGGGTAGGGGGATGAAGGCAGAGGATCTGTGGAATCAGGCAGAGGAAGAGGAGGGTATAGCAGGAGAGAAGGGGCAGATGGGGCTGGGGGGTAAGGTGGGGGTTCATCAGCCTGGTCGAATAAGGAAGAATCTGGGAAGTCAGGAGTAGAAGTAGGGGAAGTGAGGGGTTTGCAAGCAAGGAGGACTTCAGAGGGAGAACAGGAGGAGCAGAGAGCAGGGTGCTGTGCGAGAAGGCTAAAACCTTCAACACAGGGAATCTCCCTCCACTTTTTCAGATGCTGGCAATAGTTAAAAAGGTCTCGAAGGAGGTTTGGATCTAAGGAGCCTTCTGGAGGCCAATGATTGCCATTATCCAGTGGATATGTAGGCCAATCTTGGGTACAGAATTTGATTAGAAGTTTGGACTTGATGTCTGGTGTGAGGGAGAGTGTGGCCAGATTTTTATTAGACATTTGAGAGGTGAGGCTTCAGGTACAGACGAAGAGGTGCCCATAGTCACAGGGAGAGATGGAAGAGGGGGGGGGGAGAGAGAGAGAATAAAAGTAAGCGAGAGGGACAAAGAGAAATCCCGGGCTGGAACAGCTTCCTGGAAGCTCAGGGCGAACGGGGTTCAAGTGGGCGTCTCCAAAATGACCAGCCATCGAAGGAAATACAGAGGGCACTACCCGGTCATCACCAGTGAAGTGCAATCTGTAAGACCCAATAGGGTCAAAGCCATGGGCAACCTGATGTCAGGAAAGTTTTTGACTGCAGTGAAAAGAAGTCAGCAATGAAAATGGAACTCCAGCTCCGGCAGAACGTAGATCCAGGCCAGGAGTTCAGTTTCCCCGAGCAGAAAAGAGCTTGGGCTGGACACAGCAGCCCCACAGGAAACAGCAGTTCTAGCTGGCAGCTGCAGGCAGCGGAGGAGGAAAAAAAACCACAGAGCCTCTCGCATAAACTCAGAAGCCTCACGCCCCAAAGGGAAACGGATCGCCAGGAGGGTCCACTGCGACCGGTAAAGGTCTTAGTGGGGTGGGTTCCCTCCTCCCTACCGGGCACACAGTACCAGTGCAAGCCCAGAGGGAGTCCGCGAGCGGGAAAGGGGAAACTTACCTAAGGTCAGATCAATGGTGAGTGTAGGGAGCCGGCATCTGACCAGGGCGGAGTGTCTCGGTGGAGTGGGGGACGTGGGGGACGGGGCTCTTGTTAGACAGAGCTCACCCCGTATCCTCACACCGGGCACCAGAATGAAAGAGTTTCCCACGCAAAGACACTTCCCCGGGAGAATTCCAATTTTATTGCAAAAGGCTGTGTGCTTATATAGAACTAAGGGGGGAGATGGTAGGGCTTAGATAAATGGCAGGCCACCGTTTATTGGCAAGTTCTTCCAGATATCAGCTCCGGAGCCTAGGAATTAGTTCTTATTGGGGCTAAGGTTCCCCACCAGCGTGATTTGAAATTGGCGAGAGTTCACACGGGTGGGAACTTTTGGCGCCACTGCAGAAAAGAAGAAGGTAGGAAGAAGAGGTCCTTAGGCACCAAGTTGGGTTTTTTTCCTCTGGGGTGCGGCTGCCGTTTATACTTTTCCCAACAGCTTTGAAGTTACAATCCTCCTGCCTCAGTCTCCTGAGACACTGGGATTACAGGTGTGCACCACTTCGACCAGCTGAATACACATTTTATCAACATGCAATTTGATAGGTGATTCATATTTTATCATTTCAACTTTCATTTCATTGATTTCAATTAAATTATACCATGTCAAACACTTGAAACATGGATAGAATCTAAAGAGTGGCTGGAATAGACGACACTGGATGTAAACAAAAGGAAATGTTTTAAATTTTGAACTAACATCAGTGAGAGAGAATATAATATCACAACCTGTAGGATAAAGGTAAATAATTCCAAGACCCTGATCAGTTGTTACCACATTTATAGCCCAGAAATAAGATGGATGTACTTATTTTTTTAATATTTATTTTTTAGTTGTAGTTGGACACAATACCTTTATTTTATTTATTTATTTATTTTTTATTTACTGGCGGACACAACATCTTTGTTTGTATGTGATGCTGAGGATCGAACCCGGGGCCTCGCACACGTGTTAGGCAAACGCTCTATTGCTGAGCCACAACCCTAGCCCCAGATGGATCTACCTATAAAAGATACTAACTCAAGGAAAACTAGCCAAACTGAAAGTTCCTAGGATTTATTTAGCAGATTATGCAGTCAGTACACAAGAATAGCATTCCTCTTTTTTAAAGATGGGATCTGCCTGTGTTGCCCAGGCTGGCCTTTAAACTCCAGAGCTCAAGTGATCCTCCCACTTCTGCTTCCCAACTCTCCAGGTGCCTGCCACCATGCCTGTCTCTTCTAAATCATCATTAACTGGTTGGTTCTTTATTTTGATAAAGGGCACCCTCATTATTCCTGCCACTAAGGCCAGAAACTTATTAAAAGTCATTGTTGACTTCTCCCTTTCACTAACCCCTCAAGTGCCATCAAGTCTTGTTTGTTTTTAACTCTCAAACAGAACTTCAAAGCACTTCTTTTCATTGCTACTATTCTGATTCAGTCACTACTACTGGAGAGAGATATGGTCAAATTATGTCGTTACATTGAGTGCATGTACGAATATGTAACAACAACTCCCACCATTATGCACAACTATAATGCACCAATAAAAAATGTGGAAAGAAAAAGCCACTACTACCTCACTTAGACAAATGGAATCACTGCTTAACTGGTTTTGCAGTGTAGCAGCTAAAGTGATCTTTTAAAATATGAACACCATCATGCCACTTTCTCACTGTAGAACTTTTAACAGCTTCCCATTGTATTTGGGTTTAAAAACAAACTCCTACCCATCTCCTGCCAACCTCTCAGCCTCATGTCATGCCATCTCATCCCACTGTAATCAACTGCCCTGGCCTTTATTCTGTTTTTAGACTTTGCCAAGTTCTTTCTCGTGCCAAGGCCTCGATGGTTGCTTTTCTCTGACTGGAAAGTTCTTCCTTGGCACTTTCAGGCCTGGTTGCATCCACCCTTGAGACCTTAGCTTAAATGTCACCTTTCTAACTTCCTTTACTTCCATGTTCATCTCTACCCTGGTTATTTCTGAGTATTTATCACAAATATGTCATTATGGTATTTATTTGGTCACCTATTTTTTTGTTTTTGTCTTTTTGCTTTGTTTTTTGGTTTTAGTACTGGAGATTTAACCCAAGGGTGCTTTCCCACTGAGCTACATCCGCAGCCCTTTTTATTGTTTTATTTTGAGACAGGGTTTTACTACATTGTTTAGGACCTTACTCAATTGCTGAGGCTGGCCTCAAACTTCTGAACTTCCTGGTTCAGCCTCCTGAGTCCCTGAGATTACAGGTATGCACTACCACACCCAGCACCTGTTTGTTCTTTAAAGAAGTAAATAAAGGCAAGAATAAATGATTGTAAAACCACAGTGAGATACTACTTATCCTTTAGAATGCCTGTAGTATAAAAAGACAAGGCTGAGTTCAGTGGTTTACACCTGCATTCCCAGCCACTCAGGAGGCTAAGGCAGGAGGATATTAAGTTCAAGGCCAGCCTCGATAACTTAGTGAGACTCTGTCTCAAAATAAAAAAAAGGGCTGGGGATGTAGCTCAGTGGTAGAGTGCTTCTGGATTCAATCCTTAGTACTGGAAAATAGTAATAATTATAATAACCAGTTGGCAAGGAGTGGAGAAACTAGAGCCCTTATACACTATTCTATAATGTCAAGTGGTGCTGCTACTTTGGAAAACAATCTAGCTGTTGGAAGTTTCTCAAATGTGCCATATGAACTAGCAATTCCACTTCTGGGTATATAACCATGAGAAATGAAAACATGCCCATGCAGAAACTCATACCCTAACGTTCATAGCAGCATATTCATAATAGCCAAAAGGGGGAAATAATCTCAAAGTTAATCAGCTAATGATTACACATTTTATACAATGTAATATTTCTTGATAATAAAAATAAATGATACATGCTTATGAAAATGGGCATCAATTTATTTATTTTACCATGATATACTACTGCATCTGTCTCCTGTGGCTGCTATAATAAACGACCACCAAAAATCAGTATTTTAGGGTCTGGAGTTGTAGCTCAGTGGTAGAGCTATTGCCAAGCGTGTGTGAGGCAGTGGGTTTGATTCTCAATACCGCATATGAATAAATAAAGGTCTATCAACAACTAAAAATATATTGTAAAAACCTCAGTATCGTAGGGCTGAAATCAAGATGTCAGCAGAACCGTACACCCACTGGAGGTTCTTGGGGAGAATCTCCCCCAACACTCTATTTATTTTTTCATTTTTTTTTCCTTTTCCAGCATTAGGAGACTATCAGTATTCTTGGTGTATGACCAACTCCAGTCTCTGACTTCACGGGCACACTGCCTTCCCTCTTCTATCTGTTTCAAATGTCCCTCTGCTTCTCTCTTACAAAGGACCCACCTGAATATCCAAAAACGTCACACCCACTTTTAGATCTGTAACCTAATCTCATGTGAAAGGTATGTCCTTCACAGGTGCCAGGGATTAGCACACGATATATTCAAATGGTCATTATTCAGCCCACTACAACCATATTTCTACATTTTTTTCCTTTTTATCCTATGTCATGTGTTATTACAAAAGTAATGGGTATTTGGTACAGGAAATTAAAATATACAGAGACGCAAAATAAGACAACTTAAAATTCCCCATAATTTTTCTTCCCAGAGGTAAATACCATTATTATTCTGATGCCTATCTTTGCAGGGTTTTTCCTTGAATGTACATTTACATAAAGGTTTCATTAAAATTGAAAAGTCCACCTGATAGTACAGGCCCAGATCTTACTTCCAAGAAGCCCATCTCACAGTTGTGGGAAACATACTTCCCTAAAAAATATAGAATGTAGAAATTCACTTTGGGGAAAACTCGCATATCCCTCTGCATCAGAAAGGTGAATCTCAGAGTGCTCATTTTGAAACAAGAAATTACACAACATGAAAAAAAAAAAAAGTCTCAGTTTGTGCAAAGCAGAGGAAAGAGTATGCAAGAATGTCATTCACAAGGGCAGAGAGATTGAGAGATTTCTCCATTCCCGGAGCTGAATAGAAGCTATAAGCTGGCTTCCTGGAGTCTCTGACCACAAATCTTGAATGTGTGTGCCAGTGTGAGCCCCTGGCTGTTCAAGTGCAGAAGAGTGTCCCCACACATCATCGGGGGTGTGAATTGGTACTGGTGATCCATGTGCCTGTGCTAACCTTGCCCAGAATCCTGGTGACAGAGAACGCTCATTTGCTGGACGTCTTCTGCGATTCAAGGTAAGGAGTTGAGCATGACCTTGACTGCTGAAGTGATATGCTTTCAACCAAATCGATACATTCCATTCCTCTCTCCCCCTCCCTCCTTCTCTCTCTTTCTGTTGATCATAAAAAATACATATCTAAAGTCCAAAGCACAGGGTCTCATTTTAAGATATAGAATAGATGAATAAAAAACAACAGGATCATTATGTTGTGAATAAACAGAAAACAAATGAGTGAATTTCTAGTTTTTGTGTCTTCAAGTCTCAAATTTCACCTCTTCCCTGTTACTTCTACTGATACTCATCTGTCCTTTCTGAACTTGAAGTCTGTGTGTCCCAACCACTCTTACTATGCTTTCACAAAAAGAAAAAGAGCATTTTCCCTTTTTGTATACTCGCCTCTCACAAAACAGGAAGGTGTCTGATCTAGAGGAAACCCAGGCTCTGCTATGAAATGGGAAGTAGTTAAAAAGAAACTTCATTCTAAAATGGCTTTTGTTCCACCCACAGAAGGGCAACTGGATTATTCAGCCAGGTACTGAAGGGAGAGGGAATGGGATTTTAAGTATGTTTCAGTGCTAAATATTAAAGTTTTGGTTTATATTCATTTAAAGTTCATGTCTATTAGGTTTTCCTCCAGAGAAATGTAATTTTGCATGATTGGTTGGATTTGCCTGCAGGGAAAACTTTAGGGGTGGTTAACTTGGTCTGCTGGGTTTTCATTGAGTTGATGTTTAAAAGTACATTGGAGTCTGGGAGGTACATTTGTGTTAACTTTGAGACAAAGTGAGGGAGACCTTGAAAACATATTTTGGCATTACAGAAAGGAAACCCAGTCTTGTTGCTGAGATTATCATTAGAATCACAGATCAGCACATCCCTGGGAACCCGCTTTGTGTATCCAAATTTTCTCTTCTTATAAGGATACCAGTTAGACTGGATTAGGCTCGTCTGAATAGCTTCATTTTAACTTCATTCTTTAAAACCCCTATCTTCAAATACAGTCACATTTAGAGCTTCAGCATTTGGACTTGGAAGGGAATGGATAATTCAGCCCAAAATATAACATTAACAGTAATAAGTGAGATTGCTGGAGTCTAAAGATATAAGAACATTCTAGAGACTTTTACTAGAAAGGAAGACAGATAACACACACTGTCCATCTCTACCCCAACTACTACCATGTTTAATCTCCACACAAGTCCTAGGAGGTGGGTAATACACATGTCAGTATTTTAGTAAAGAAAGCAAGAACAAGAAAGGCCAACTAACATTCTGGAGTGCCCATCTCACAAACTGCAGAGCGAGGATTTGAATTCAGGCTCACAATGCCAAAGTCAAAATGCATTTTCCAGGGGCTGGGGATGTGGCTCAAGCGGTAGCGCGCTCGCCTGGTATGCGTGCAACCAGGGTTCAATCCTCAGCACCACATACCAACAATGATGTTGTGTCCGCCGAGAACTGAAAAATAAATATTAAAAATTCTCTCTCTCTCTCTCCTCTCTCACTCTCTCTTAAAAAAAAAAAGATTAAAAAAAATGCATTTTCCATTTCCATGTGCTTCCTCTTTCCCTCATTTCATTCATGAATTGTGGGAATGACTCCAAAAGTCATGGGTCATGAGTCCTGAGGAACTTTAGTTCTCTGAGGAGCTTTCTTCCACATACCATGTGGAAGAAAATACCTATTTTTTAGAATGTGTTCAAAACATTATTTTCCAAGATACAACTATAGGAAAAGGTCTTTTCCCACCCAATTCAGATTTTCACTGGACAGAATTCTGGGAGGAGAGGAGTTGCAGAGCCAGAGCCAAGGTCTAGGGATGCAAACTGGTCCCAGTACTGTTCTTCAACCAAAAGGGTAACTCAGAATTGACTACAGGAGCAGGGAAACCTTTAGGGATGGTTACCCTGGTCTGCTGGATTTCATTCGTTTTCTTCAAATTAATTTTATTGAATTGACTTTATTCTCCGGAGCATTAATTGACTCTGACTTGGTTCCCCATTCTGGCCACAGACTTTCTGTGACTAGGAAGACTACTTCCAGTATCCAAGTGAAGATGCATTTTTTAGCACCTTCAAAATCAGCTGAGATTCTTTCCCGATGATCCCTGCAGCAATTTCAATTCTTTCAGCTGACAAATGACCGGATGACCAACTCTGGGATTAATTGATTCTGTTCACTTGTGAATAGAGGGAACTTCTTGGCTTCTTTCTCATCTTCTTCCTCTTTTTTTCTGTTCTCACTTAAACTCTGACCCAATCTGTAGAGTCCTGACTCCTCCCAGGTCCACCCCTTTTGGGGGAGGTAGAAAAGGAAGGAAGAATTAACAGTAGTTGCTACTTAATCAAGTTTTTTCTGTGTGCTAGTCCCTACTCTTTGATCTGGGACTCTCCGCTTGTTAGTAAAACAGCTGGAATTTGGACCCTACGCTGGCACTGGAAGAGGCCTTTGCTTATATCCCTGTGCTGCCCAACCCCTGTCCCCCACAGCTCTTCCCTATGCTGCTTTCTCTGCCTGGAAATGGCCTCTTTGCTTTACTGCCTGGTAGACTTTGGTTTCCCTCAAGTACAGCTCAGAAGTCACTTTGCTTGATTGTGACTAAATATTCACAAGTAATAAATGTTACTGCTGGAAGTGTACTTCATGAGGACCTAATAAACCTGAACTCTTAACTACTTAAAAAAAAGTCACCTCGCCCAGGTAGTGTTAAACATCCCTCTGAGGGAGCTCCCTGGAAAACTGAACTTCAACCATTCATTGACCTTGACTCACAAGAAAGACATCTATATTACCACCTAGTGCCAGGAAACATAAATCACTGAAATAAAATTTTCATGGGAAAATACAGTGTTTCTTATCATTTTAGTTCTAGTCCATATTTGGGTGGGGGGGTACCAGGGATTGAACTCAGGGGCACTCACCCACTGAGCCACATCCTCAGCCCTATTTTGTATTTTATTTTATTTATTTTTATTTTTTAAAGAGAGAGAGAGGGGAGAGAGAGAGAGAGAGAGAGAGAGAGAGAGAGAGAGAATTTTTTTTTAATATTTATTTTTTAGTTCTTGGCGGACACAACATCTTTGTTGGTATGTGGTGCTGAGGATCAAACCCGGGCCGCACGCATGCCAGGCGAGCGCGCTACCACTTGAGCCACATCCCCAGCCCCCCTATTTTGTATTTTAGAGACAGGGTCTCACGGATTTGCCTAGCACCTCGCCTGTTGCTGAGGCTAGCTTTGAGCTTGTAATCCTTCTGTTTCAGCCTCCCAAGCCACTAGGATTACAGGGGTGTACCACTGCACCGAGCCTAATTCATATTTTTTTAAAACATGGAATAGAAATAGAAAATAATATAAAAATAGAAATATTAAATAAAATAGTTTTGAAAATATGTAACATAAATATAAACAAATATACAAATGGAAAAAAAGAAAATTATTTTTTAAAAATATGGAATACTTTGAAGATATTTAAGTGTTTGTGACCCACTTAATTTATTATCGTGACCCATTATCACGAGCGGATCACTGGACAACTGCCCTGGAAGACACACTTTCTTCCTCCAACAGACTCTCCTGATGCTCTCAGCTCTGAAATCCTCTGACTCCTCAAACAGAGGTCTTAGGGCCCAGGTTTTTTGGTTCAGAGGAAAGCAAATTTTGGTCCCCATCCACTAGCCACCTAAAATGCAAAGTGTATTTTAACCTCATTTGTTTGTCCAGTAATAGAAAGTCTGGCCCTAAAAACATAATTATTTGTATCTTAGCAGAATGCACTTAGTTTTTTTGACATTTGAAAAAATAATTTTGAATACCCCATCCTTTACATAACAACATGATTTTCAAAAACAATTATGTAATGAAGTTAATGTTAATAATGGATAGAAATTCATGAATTGAATTTTTTCATTTTTACATTTATGAAGAATTTTTATTGTGGAAAGACATATGTAACATAAAATTTATCATCTTCACCATTTTTCAGTGTATAGTTCCATAGTATTGTATATATTCACATTGTAGAATCTTTGTGTTTGTTTGTTTGGTAGCAGGAATTGAATCCAGGGATGCTTAACCACTGAGCCATATCCCCAGCCCTTTTTATTTTTTTATTTTGAGACAGTCTCTCACTAAATGGCGTAGGGCCTGGCTAAGTTGCTGAGGCTGGTTTTGAACTCTCAATTCTCCTGCCTCAGCCTCCCTGGGATTACAGGTGTGGTTCTAGATTTTATTCATCTTGCAAAACTGAAACACTATTCCTATTAACAACTCTCTGTTTCCTGCAGTTGTTGATTTTCCTTTATTCAGCTTTAACTTATTAAACTGAAGTAACATTTCTACTTCTTTACATGCCAGACCGAAAGCCAGAGGTCAAAAAAGTGTCTTGTATCCTGGTGAGGTGGCTTAGGAGGCTGAGGCAAAAGAATAGCAAATTCATCCTCAGCAAATTAGTAAATTGCCCTGTCTCGAATAAAAAATAAAAAGGGCTGGGGTTGTAGCTCAGTGGTAAAGCACACCTGGGTTCAAAAATCTTGAGTACCAAGAATAAAGATAAAAAATGTGTCTTAAAGATAGAAATCAGGAAACTGGAATTGTGGCTTGGTGGTTGAGCACTCGCCTAGTACATTTGAGGACCTGGGTTCGATCCTCAGCACCACATAAAAATAAATAAAATAAAAGTATTGTGTCCAACTGCAACTAAAAAATAAATATTGGGGCTGGGGATGTGGCTCAGTTGTAGAGCACTTGTCTGGTATGTGTGAAGCACAAGGTTCGATTCTCAGCACCACATATAAATAAATAAAGATCCATTGACAACTAAAAAATGTTTAAAAAATTTAAAAAAATGAATATTAAAAAAATAGAAATCAGGGCTGGGATTGTGGCTCAGTGGTAGAGCATTTGCCTAGCATGTGTGAGACACTGGGTTCAAGTCTCAGCACCACATATAAATAAATAAAATAAGGATCCATCCACAACTAAAAATACAGTTTTTAAAAAAATATATAGAAATCAGCTGTGTGCAGTGCACATCTGTAAACCCAGTTACTCAGGAAGCTGAAACAGGATTGTGAACTTAAGGCCAGCCTGGGCAAGAAGGCAAGACCCCATCTCAAAGTACAAAAACAAAATAGAAATCAGTAAAAAAATCAGTAAAAATGATTTTAACATTTATATGAGAATGTAAATGATTTCAAAGGAGAACAAAATTGGAGGATTTATTATACTACCTGATTTTGTGGGGGCTAAGGGGTACTTGAGATTGAACCAGGAGTGCTTTACCACTGAGATACATCCCCAGACCTTTTTTTTTTTTTTTAAATATTGAGACAGGGTCCAGATAAATTGCTGGGGCTGGCTGCAAATTTATGATCTTCCTGCTTCAGCCTCCAAAGCTGCTGGGCTTGCAGGTGTGTGCCACTGTTCCTAGCACATGCTACCTGATTTTAACACTTATGAGGACACAGTAATCAAGAAAATTTAATTTTTTTCCAGTGCTAAGGATATTATAACCCAGGACCTTGTAATGCTAGGCAAGCAGTCTACAACAGAGATACAGCCCCTTGCCCAAGGAACCTCAACCTTTTATCTCACACCATAAACAAAAATTTTCTCAAAATGAATCAACAATCTTAAGTGTAAGTGAATCATGACATCCAGTGCAAAAGCTAAAATCATAAGATCCCTAAAAAAACTTGGGTGAAAAATCTTTGGGGCTTAAATAACAATGATTTTGTAAATAGGACACAAAAATCATGAATTAAAAAAAAGCAAAAATTAATAAGCTGGATATTTTAGTCGGCTTTGTGTCACTGTGACCAACAGACTTGACAAGAACAATATAAAGGAGAAAAAGCTTATTTGGGCTCATATTTCAGAGGTTCAGTTCTGAAAATATGAGCCATAGCTCTGGGCCTGAGGATGGCAGAAGGATGTGGCAGAGGAAAGCAGTTCAGCACATGGCAACCTGGAGGCAGAGAGAGCTCTGTTCATCAGGGACAAAATATAAAACCCAAAGATACATCCCTAGTGACCTACCTCTTCTCGCCATCCCCTACCTGTTTATAGTTACTGTCCTGTTCATCACTGTCAGTGGATTAATCTACTGATTAGGTTACGACTCTTACATTATCTAGCACGGGAGCTTTTGGGGACACCTCATATCTAAACCATGACACTGAACTTCATGAAAATGAAAATATCTTGCTCTTGAGAAGATGTAAGAAGATGCACATCAAACCATGTTTTCTGTGTTCCATATTTTATGATGTCATAATTTGGGAGTCTTTATTCAATTTATATGAGTTTATAAAAGAGATTAGACTAATTTATGATGAAAAAAATCAGAATAATGATTGCCTCTGAAGATGTGGTAAAGATGGAATTTGGGAAGGGGTGTGAGATACTTTTTAAGGAGAGGGCAGAGTTCTATCTCATGACAGGTTTTTGAAGTGTAAGCCTTTCAAAACTCATTAAAGAGTACAGTTAAGATCTGCAAGCTACATCTCCAGACCTTCAATGTATATATTTTTTTCTAAAACAAAAACAAAATCAAAGCAGTATTGAATTCTACTTAATGATACAGATGTAGAATGTATTCATGTCGAAGCTGGGTGTGGTGTCATTGTAGGCACCCAAGAGGCTGAGGCAGGAGGATCTCAAGTTTGAGGCCAGCCTGGGAAACTTAGTGAGACCCTGTATCAAAAATTAAAAAATAAAAAGGGCTGGGATATATCTCAGTGGTAAAGCACCCCTGGATTTTTTCCCTAGTACAAAAAATAAATAAAGAATGTATTGATGTCCATAACTTATGTTGAATAAACAAAAATAAGTAAAAAGGATTGATGAATAGATAGAGGGATGGAAAATTAGATTGGTATATGATAAAGTAACCATAGTCAAATAATAATTGTAGAATCTATGAGGTGGTTATAAAATACTTTTGTATAGCTTTTAAAAATTTCATGTTATGTTTGAAATTTTTTATAGTAAAATGTTAGGGAAAATATTTATGGGTTTCCAACCCCACCCCATTCTCATGCCTCAATCCCAATCATCTGGCTTCCATTTTTGCTTCTCTCCACCTAGTGATCGGAATTTTCTTCCCCCTTTCCTATCTGTCCAATAATGCTGTTTCTAATTCAGGATCTTTGTCTTCATCCTGAAGCAGCGGGGTGTGTATGTATGTGTGAATAGACAGCAGTGGTGGGGCGCGCAGATGGTGATCTGACTTATTTGGCTCAGGGAGGGACATGGGGAGAGCAAAGATAGGCCAAGCACTGGGCGTCTGGGTCTCTGCTTTTCAGCACACATTTTAAAATATCTAAGGGGCAAGAAAGAGAAAAGGAGTCGATTTCTACACTTTTTGGAAAGATGAAAGGCCAGGACCACACCAAGAAGTAAAAATATATTTATTATCTTAAAATATCACTTTGAACATGCTTCTGGTATTGCTATTGATCCCAATTGCCCCTAGAACAAAATACAAATGCCTCATCATGGCATACAAGTCTTTCTATGGCGTCTCTCCTTTGAACTCACAGCACACCTGCTCTTTCTGTTTCTTCAGTCACTCGTACTCTCTGTTTCATATTGTGGCTCATTTCCTCTATTATGCAAGCCTTCTTACCTTCCGCCACCTCCAGCCAGACCTCCAGCCAGACCCCCTGTTCTCATCTTACTATACTTTAAGACTTGATTATGTGCTGTCTCCTGCCTGAAAACTTCTTCCCTGGATGAGTCTAGTGCGTGTCACTCTTTTTTTTTTTTAATATTATTTTTTAGTTGTCAGTGAATCTTTATTTTATTTATTTATATGCGGTGCTGAGAATCGAACCCAGTGCTTCACCCATGCTTCACTCTTACCTGGAGCAATTGGAGAGAACTTACCCTCAGCACCATCCTTTTTGGCACTTACCCCTCCCATCTTTTGCTATTTAATTCCTAGTCACCTTCTTAGCTTTCATCAGCATCAACTGGAAGAAACTTTGAGAAGGACAGAGTCCCACTTGAACAGAGTCTAGAGCTCTAGTTCAAGAGTGCAGACACCTGGGTTCTCCTTAGGTTTTTCTTATAAATAGCCAATGGCTTTGAGCAAGTTTTTATTTGGCTTGGACCATCATCTCATCTCTAAGAAGAGGGGCATTAGCTGGATAATTGCTCCAGTCCTCCAATGTGATTGTTTCTGGTTCTGTTTTGTTTTATAGAATGAAGGATAATTTTACAGAAAGAAGAGGACAATATTGCAATCATCTTTGACAGGTCCATTTGGAAATAATATCTTCTACTAAATATAGAAAGGTAGAACACTTTTATTCAGAACAAGTAAGTATATTACAAATTACATCTGCCTAGTTGTATAGTTGTGGAGATCAATTCATGCCTTCATCTGACTTGTTAGAGGTAGAATTCTTAACAAATTAAGAACAATAGTTCTGTTGTTTGGGCACATTCATTTATGGATATGGCAGCCTGTGAATAAAAGGTCAAACCACAGATAGAACAGAACAAAGAGCGACTGTTGGTTCTCTGTCATCACCTATTCACTCTTACCCTTCCATCCAGATAGCAGAGCTACATGCATTAAGATCATTGGGAAGAAACAGTGTAGACCCAAGTGGTACTCAAAATTAGCTCTTTCCATTCTGATGAGAGTATGCTATCCAATGTCGGAGCCACTAGCCCACATATGGCTACATGACTGTGAATTTAATTAAGTTAAAATTTAATTTTATGTCAAAATTCAATTGGATAGTCACTCTAGCCAATTTTCTAGTGTGCCTAATGGCGACCATATTAGACAGTGCAAATGGAGAACATGGTCATCATCTCAGAAAGTTCTGCTGTAAAGTGCTGATCTATACAAAGAGATACTCTGAAAAAAATGAATGAATGAGCAAGCTTGTTTTCACTTAACTATTTTGTTAAAGAAGTGTATGATGGTCCACACTTGTGGAGATATATCATGAGTAAAATAAGAGGTGTATATTTTAGTTACATGACAGTTAACAAAAACTATGTTTCTTACAGTTAGATAGCATGGCTAGTGGCAACTATATCATGTAGATATATAGTCAAAGGTTAAATAGGATGGAAATATACCATGATTAGTAATAAGAATATCAGTTATACGCAGGATATTTATAATGTATAGTATGTAAGGTATACTTTTTAAAATTTAAAACATTTGTATGTATATGACTTTACTCAATATCACTAATCTTTAACATACTCTGAGAAAGTGTCAGTGTCTTCATTTTACAGTTGAAGACATGGCCTCCGAAAGGCTCTCTTGTGAACATGCATCAATCTCCAGAACTTTCTGAAGCTACATGTTCTTCAGCTGTAAAATTAAGATCACATGAGACAAAGTCATAGAGGTTATTCCAGAAGGAGGGTGCAGGAGCCAAGAGCACAGTTGAGACTCCAGAGGAAAGGGACAGGACTCTGCTATAGGACTGGTAGACAGGGTTGGACAACATCCCAGCTGAAGTTAGCTGTAGAGATCTGCGATGTTAAGAAAGGGAAGGTGACATGGGATCCTGGCATTGGAGAGCTCGAGAGTGCATTTCAGACCAGAGAGGACTTAGAGGTTTTAGGAGAAGCATCTTTATTCACTGATCAATCAAGAAGGGTTTGAAAACCAGGAGCAACCTAGGCCAGGAAGAAAACTAGCAGACCCTGAGAGTGAAAAACCAGGAAGATATTTCTCAGAGCTGTTATGGATACAGTGTGGTATAGTGCCTTTGAGAGACCTTGCAAAGCTGGGTGCAAAAATGATAGCGCTTTCCCAGAAACCAAGAGAAACTAGAGATTGGATATAGTCCAATGTTTTGCAGTGATACTCTTTAGAAAAGACCAAAGTCTGAGAGATAAAAAAGGCTGTTTCTTTGGTGACAGCAGGATAATGACTAAAAATTATAGCTAACATGTCTCAAGCTATTACTTTATCTGGGATACTGTACATGAACTCTCAAAACAACTTCATAAGTTAAATATTGTTCTCAACCCCTTGGTACAGATGAGGAATCAGTGTAGTATGCTAGAGCTGGTTTTGTTTTTATACTCTGATTGTTGAATTTTTAGGATTTTTGGCATGTGACGTGTTATTAGCTTGAAATTGACCATGGTGGAAATACTGAATCAGCTACGGGGATTGGTAAATGCTATATATTAGACCCTCTATCTCCAGAGAGCCAATGTGTTATACATTTAGCAACACATCATTTAACAGGGTCAAAGAGGTTTAGCAAGTTGCCAAGTTTACATGGTAGCAATTGTCAGAGTCTAGGTTAATTCATTACTTTAAAACCTACAGTTTCACCACTCTGACATCATTGGGGACACTTTTTAAAAAAACATTTTTAATTGTAGATGGACACAATACCCTTATTTTATTTATTCATATGTGGTGCTCAGGATTGAACCCAGTACCTCACACATGCTAGGTGAGTAGTCTCCACTGAGCAACAACCCCAGCCCACTGGGGTCACTTTTATATCGGGGACAAGATTATTCACCTTGCTTCATCACCAATACAAAACCATCGTACTCACCAAGGACTCTGGAGTCAGGGATAAGGAGTTTTGCACAGCATTTATTGAGGGCCTGGAATTCAGGCACTTGACATTTCCATAATTCAAGATGTGTACAGCGGGAAGCGGGTGGGGAATGAGCAGTACTGAGCTCTGACATCAGATGCTGATATGCATATTTTATATAAATTAATATGTATATTCCCCTTGTCTCCTCAGTGAATTTTATAAAGGAAAATAGTCAAGACCTCATTCAAAGGATGGGCATGACTGTTACCAAGCAAATTGTGGATGATCTGTTTGGGTGGAATGTTCTGAATAGTGAAGAAGTAAGCATGATTTATTGTGAGAAGGTGGAGCAGGATGCTGCACGAGGGATCATTCACATGATTTTGAAAAAGGGCTCAGAGGCCTGCAACCTCTTTCTTAAATGTCTTGAAAAATGGAACTATCCTCTGTATCAGGACTTGAATGGACAAAGTAAGTATCAGTTGCTTGCATCTATTTCTACAACTAGAATGGACCATGAGGAGGATCCCTAAGCCCACGACAGAGCTTCCCTCTTCATATTTCCTAGCAGTGAGCTCTGGTTCATGCTAAGGAAAAGCTCTCATTTGATCACTTAAGATTACATGAGACACAGTTGTAGAGGATATCCCCATAAGGAGGATGCAGAAGCCAAAATATGGAGACTGGAGGATATGGAAAATGACAACCTTCAAGACAGAGAGACCTGGGAGGAGAGAGGAAGGAAGAGGACAAATATTGATCCTTTCCCAATAAATTCTTTCCCAGTGACCTCAAAGGAAGTAACCAAACATTCATTCTTTCCCAGTGACAACACAATGACCCCCAGAGGAAGCAGATGAACTCTGGACCCTCCATCCTTGCCCAGTAAAAATAAGCCTCTAATTTTTACAAGCTCTTTCCTGAATGCCCAAACTGACACATTCTGTTGAAGAGATTACATCATCTCTCAGGGCAACTTGTAAAAACCCAGATCCCTTCTGTAAACAGGGGCCATTTTCTACTCAGAAAGCGAGTCCCTCTGATGCCTGACTCTGCTGGTAAATAAAAGGCACTGCTGATCCGTGAAGTCTGCTCTCATCCTGGTTACTTATTACAGTGCCAAAACTCTTTTGGTTATTTTGCTTATAGAAGCCAAATAAATAACCCGAAAGCCAGGAAATAAATGACTTCTTATCATTTCAAAGCATACACTCATAAATTCCTTGATCTACCTATGGATGAGCAGCCCAGCTGACTACCTTCTCTATGACCTAAGCACCAGGGCAAAGACAGTCCAACTGACCGAGGGAGGACGACTCTGCTTTACATGAAACAGTAATTTTAATTCCTTTAAGTGAGCAGCTTATGTCATGACAGGTTTTAATCAAAGTGAAGGCTGTTCCACTGGAAGTTGCCCCTAACCATCACCCTCAGCCAAATCCTCCACTTCCCTTAATCCAAACACAGGCTCCAGCCATTTCAAATCAGCAGCTGCATGGATTGGTAGCAGAAAGAAAGAAATGGAAGGCAAAAGGGGGGAGGAGGGAAGAGGTGCCAGGGGAAAGCAGCAGGAGATGTGGAACGCTTTGTGCAGGCTCAGAACTGGAGAAGGACATGAAAGCCCTCTACGACATCACTCAGCTTTACCCCCCCCTTCCTTCTCCTCACCTCCAGGGATGAGGGCACACAGAATGGTGGCCTCTCTAACATCACCTCTTTTCTAACAGGTCTTTTTCATCAGCTATCAGAAGGAGACTTAGATGATTTGGCTCAGGATTTAAAAGATTTATACCGTACCCCCTCTTTTCTGAACTTCCATCCCCTGGGTGAAGATATTGATATTATTTTTAATTTGAAAAGGACCTTCACAGAGCCTATCCTTTGGAGGAAGGACCAACACCATCACCGTGTGGAGCAGCTGACCCTGAGTGGTCTGCTGGAGACTCTGCAGAGCCCCTGCATCATTGAAGGGGAATCGGGCAAAGGCAAGTCCACCCTGCTACAGAGAATCGCCATGCTCTGGGCCTCTGGGAAGTGTGGGGCCCTGACCAAGTTCAAATTTGTCTTCTTTCTTCGTCTAAGCAGAGCCCAGGGTGGACTGTTTGAAACCCTGTGTGATCAGCTGGTGGATGTACCTGACACAATCAGGAAGCGCACCTTCATGGCTATGCTGCTGAAGCTAAGGCAGGGGGCTCTTTTTCTCCTTGATGGCTACAATGAATTCAAGCCTGAGAACTGCCCAGAAATCGAAGCCCTGATAAAGGAAAACCACCGCTTCAAGAACATGGTCATAGTCACCACCACCACCGAGTGCCTGAGGCACATCAGGCAGTTTGGTGCCCTAACTGTCGAGGTGGGGGATATGACCGAGGACAGTGCCCGGGTTCTCATCCGAGAAGTGCTGATTAAGGAGCTTGCTGAAGGCTTGCTGCTCCAGATTCAGAAATCCAGGTGCTTGAGGAATCTGATGAAGACCCCTCTCTTCGTGGTCATCACTTGTGCAATCCAGATGGGTGAGAGTGAGTTCCACTCTCACACACAAACCACACTGTTCTGTACCTTCTATGATCTGCTGATACATAAAAACAGGCACAAACATAAAGGCGCAGCTGCAAGTCATTTAACCCGGAGCCTGGAGCACTGTGGAGACCTGGCTCTGGAGGGGGTGTTCGCCCACAAATTTGACTTTGAGCTGGAGGACGTGTCCAGCGTGAATGAGGACGTCCTGCTGACAACTGGACTCCTCTGTAAATACACAGCTCAAAGGTTCAAGCCCAAGTATAAATTCTTCCATAAGTCCTTCCAGGAGTACGTAGCGGGACGCAGGCTCAGCAGTTTATTGATGTCTCCCAAGCCAGAGGAAGTCACCAAGGGGAAGAGTCACTTGCAGAAAATGGTTTCCATTTCAGACATTACCTCCCTGTATAGCAACCTGCTCCTGTATACATGCGGGTCCTCTGCCGAAGCCACCAGAGCTGTCATGAGGCACCTTGCTGCTGTGTATCAACATGGCAGCCTGACAGGGCTTTCCATCACCAAGAGGCCTCTCTGGAGGCAGGAATCTATGCAAAGTTTGAAGAACACCAGTGAGCAAGAAATTCTGAAAGCCATCAACATCAATTCCTTTGCAGAGTGTGGCATCAATTTATTCCATGAGAGTATATCTAAATCGGCCCTGAGCCAAGAATTCGAAGCTTTCTTCCGTGGTAAAAGTTTGTATATCAATTCAGACAATATCCCTGACTACCTATTCGACTTCTTTGAACACTTGCCTAATTGTGCAAGTGCTCTGGACTTCATCAAACTGGATTTCTATGGAGGCGCCTCAGGTTCACAGGACAAGGCTACAAAAGATGGAACGAGAATCCCCACAGAAGAGTCCTCGGAAACCTACATTCCCAACCGGGCTGTGTCTTTGTTCTTCAACTGGAAACAGGAATTCAAGACTCTGGAGGTCACACTCCGGGATTTCAGCAGGTTGAATAAACAAGATATCAAATACCTAGGAAAGATATTCAGCTCCACAGCAAGCCTCAGACTGTCTGTTAAGAGATGTGCCGGTGTGGCTGGAAGCCTCAGTTCAATCCTCAGCACCTGCAAGAATATCCATTCCCTCATGGTAGAAGCCAGTCCCCTCACCATAGAAGACGAACAGCACATCACATCTGTGACAAACCTGACAACTTTGAGTATTCATGACCTTCAGACTCAACAGCTACCAGGTATTGCATACATGAGCAGTTTAAGCTATAACTAAGTCTGGCTGGGTACTCTGGAGATATTCGATATCATGTAGTTTTATTTTCAGCTTTCCAATAGTTTCTAGCAGATGTTAGGACTTAGAATGGAGGTGAGACGGCTGGGGAGAGAGGTCTATGTAGAGGGAGGAGTGTCAGGGAAGATTTCTAGAGCTGAGAAGTTTTATATATATCATAAAAAATTATATATTCTAAAATGTATTTTTATCTAGTATATATTGTTATAATAAGATATACTAATTATTAAGTATATACATATTTTTATTATTTAAAATATATGTAAAATTTACAATGTAGGCAAAGCTTGTCTTCGGCAAACCCTTCCCCCCATCAGCATCTCCATCTCTACCCAACACCCACTGTTTCCCTGCCAAGTGGCACCCTGTTCTGGGAGAAAATCCAGCCTGTAAGTTAATCACCTTGTAGAAACTAATGACTAATTGTGTTTCTAGATTTTCATCTGGGAAAGTGCAAAATATATCTTGCCCCATTGTTACTGCAAGTATTGTTTATTTAGAAAAAAAAGATTTTAGGAGTGGATACTGGCTAACATGAAGAAATTTCAGACTACAGGTACACACATGTGGGGGCAAGGCTTCTGGGTAAAGGGGAATCTTCTTCAAATTCCAAATAATACTAGAGATGAGCATTTTCCCTGCCTGTGTAGAGCAACCCTGTTAACAGAGCAGGGCTGCTAGGGGTGGAGATGCGGCCAGCAGGAACCTTGTTCTGCTTCACTGTTTGTTTTCAGTCATAAGTGAGTTCCTGTCCAGTTCTACTTCATTTGCTACCCAAAGAGGAATTCTCTATGATGTGTAGAATCTAGAATTATTTTGTACTGATCATCTTTGCAACCTCCTACTCAATGCAGGAATCTCTTCTGTAGGATTCTGGATGTCACCTAGCCTTTAACGTCTGACCTTTCATGCCAGGAAATGACCATCTCCTCTTGGCAGTTATTCTTTTACAGTTGTCTTGCAAAGTTGTCACTTTTGTGCTGAATTTGGCCTACAGGGTGTTTAGAATTTATATATGTGTGTGTGTGTGTGTGTACGTGTGCAGGTGTGCACATATATTATTAGCACATAATATATTACATATACACATAATTGTATATGCTTATGGGGTATACAATGTGGCATTTCCATATGTATAAACAATGTATAATTAGATTTTTAAAATGTTTGCCAATATTTTCCTCTCAATTCATAAAATTTAATTCATTTTAAGAGTAACATGTTCACTTGGTCCAAGGTTTAAAAGGACCTAAAATGAAAAGTCTCCTCCTGCCCATGTCTTCTAGTCATGACCACCCTCCCTGGAGGAGCTACCAGCCTTTTGAAATTGGGAGATATCACACGAAAATATAGATTTCTCATTTCTCTTCAAATTTGTTAGATTTGGCCACTGTGTTCTCATATCCTTACTGGGAACAATTGGCCAAATCCACATTATCCACTTCTGTGTTCCTCGGGCAAGACATGGGTACAGACTCCACCTGTCCTACTTTTTATAATAAAATTACCTTCCTGCCCCTTTTTAAAATTTTTACTTATAGTTTATGCAATAAGGTTTTCAAATATATCTTTAAACTGTGTATATAATTCCTAGATCAAAAGGGCTAGTTTGAGAATTAAATGGCATATACCACTCATAATATGCAAGGTCCCTTTGCAAAAACAGATGTAGATTGAAGAAAGGCTAATTACCAGGATAGGAAGGTATCCCCCTAGGAACTACATAAGGTTTCCAAGGTTCCTCTTCAACTTTAAGAACTGCCCTTGAATAGCATTTTTCTTAAAATTTCATGTGTTTTATTTATCAATAATAAATCACAAAACTTAAAAATTCACAATTTAGTGTTGGGGATATAGCCCAATGTTGGAATGGTTAACTAATATCCACAAGCCCCATGGACCTTGTTTGATAGCCCTAGCACTGAAAAAAATTACAATTTTTATTTAATATCAAAATTTTTTTCCAAGAAAAATTTCAACTATTGTACTTGTAAATGGACATTCAAACCAAAATATATACTCTATCTAATGGTTCATTGAAGAATACAAAAAGCAATAGACATAGGTGCAGATGTGCATGCCTATAATTCCAGAGACTCAGGAAGCTGAGACAGGAGGATTACAACCTCAAGGGCAGCCTCAGCAATTTAGTGAGGCCCTAAGCAACTTAGTAAGACTCTATCTTAAAATAAAAACAAATAGGGGCTGGGGATGTGGTTCAAGCGGTAGAGCGCTTGCCTGGCATGCGTGCGGCCCGGGATCGATCCTCAGCACCATATACAAAGATGTTGTGTCTGCCAAAAAATAAAAAATAAATATTAAAATTCTCTCTCTCTCTCTCTCTCTCTCTCTCTCTCTCTCTCTTAAAAAAATAAAAATAAAAAAATTTATAGGGCTTGGGATATGGCCCAATGGTTAAGTGCCTCTGGTTTCAATCCTGGCACCAAAACACAAAAAACAAAAACTTCTACTCAGATCTTGGTTGGTATTATATTAAATCTACTGAGTAATTCAGGGAGAATTAGCATCTTTACCATGTTGAGTATTGTAAGCCATGAGCATGGTTTCTCTTTGCATTTATTTAGATCTTGCTTGCTTTCTTTCATTACCATTTTAATAGTATTCAGCATACAGAGGCAGCACATGTTATTAGATTTATACCCAACTGTTTCATTCTTTTGGAATCATTTTTATTTAATTTTTTAATTGATTTTTAAAAAATAAATGACAGTGGAATGCATTGCAATTCTTATTACACATACACAGCACAATTTTTAATATATCTGGTTGTATATAAAGTATGTTCACACAGATTTGTGACTTCATACATGTACTTTGGATAATGATGTCCATCATATTCTACCATCTTTTGGAACCATTTTAAAAGGCATTAAAATTTTGTTTGGTTTCCAATTGTTGATTATTACTATATAGAAATACAATTAATTTTAGCATCTTCATCTTATATTTTGTACCTCTGATAATTTACTTATTAGTTTTATAAGGTGTTTGTTTTTGTAGATTCCTTAAAATTTTCATCATAGATAATTATCTCATCTCCAAAAACATATATATATATATTATATTTGCTTTCTAATCTGCATTTCTTTTATTTCATTTTCTTATTGCATTAACTAGTACTTGTAGTGTCATGTTGAATTGCAGTGGTAAGAGCGAATGAACGTTCTGCCTTGTTCCTGATCTTAGGGAGAAAGCATTCAGACTTTCACAATTAAGTATAGTAACTGTAGTTTTTTTGTAGATGCCTTTTTTTCAAATTGAGGAAATTTCCTTTTATAGGTTGCTAGAATCATAAATAAATGTTGAATTTTATCAGTTATATTTTCTGCATCAATTTATATGATCATGTTATTCTCCCATGGACCATTAATATTATACAAGTTGATTATACAGGTTGATATGCAACTACTGAACCAGCCCTGCATTCCTTGTATGAAGCTTGCTTGGTAGTAGTGTAATAATATTCTTTCCATGTATTGATTGAATTCCACTTGCTATTTCATTAAGGATTTTTTAAAAAAATTGTTGTAGTTGTAGATGGACAGAATGCCTTTATTTTGTTTATTTTTATGTGGTGCTGAGGATCAAACCCAGTGCCTCATGCATGCTAGGCAAGTGCTCTGCCACTGAGCTATATCCCTAGCCCTCATTGAGGATTTAAAAAAATATTTTTAGTTGTAAATGAACATAATATCTTTATTTTATTTATTTTTATTTGGTGCTGAAGATTAAACCCAGTGCTTCACATATGCTAGGCAAGCACTCTACCACTGAGCTACAATCCAAGCCCCCTCATTGAGGATTTTTGCTTCTGTGTTCTTGAGTGATATTAAAGTTTTATTTTCTCGTACTGTCTTTCTCTGGGTTTCATACTAAGTTAATGGTGGCTTCATAAAATGATTTGGGAAACTGCTCCAGAGGCTGAGGCAGGAGGATTCCAAATTTGAAACTAGTTTTAATAACATGTCTAAAAAAAAAAAAGGTTGGAAATATAGCTCAGTGCTCTAGCACCCTCCTCCCACGAGATCTCGGAAGTCTTTCTGGAACTGATTGTGAACTTGGTGCTATGTCTTATTTGAAAGTTTGGTAGAATTTGCAAGTGGAAGTATCTGTTTCTACAGATTCTTTCTTTTCCGTTTTTTTTTTTTTTTTTTTTGTAGTGCTGAGGATTGAAGCCAAAAGGTATATGCTATATTTCTGAGCTATATCCTCAGCCACAGATTTCTTTTCTTCTTCTTTTTAAATTTAAAATCACAAATTCTTTAATAGTTATTATCAGACTCTTAAGATTACTACTTCCATATTAGGTGAGTTTTGGTAGTTTATGGTTTTCATGGAACTGGACAATTTCGTATATGTTATCCAATTCATATGTGTAAGTTTGCTCATATTCTATAACATCTGTAGTGTCTGAGGTGATATACCCTTTTTCATTTCTGATATTGGTAATTTATGTCTCCTTTTATATTTGTCAGTTTTGCTAAAAATTTATAAATTTTATTGACCTTTTTAAAGATGCAGCTTCATTGATTGCTTTATATTTTTTGTTTGTGATTTTATTGATATCTACTCTTATTTCTACTTTTGCTCTCTTTTCTGTAGTCTCTTAAGTCTAGGTTGTTGACTTGAGACCTTTTGTTATTTCCAGTTATAAGCATTCAATGTTATAATCTTCTCTCTAAACAGAAGGTTTTATTATTTACTTATTATTTAGCTGAAGATTTTTATTATTTGTTAGATTTTATTATTTTTTATGTATTATTCAAAATATAGGGACTGGGGAGGCAACGCTATGGTAGAGTACTTGTCTAGCAAATACATACACAGAAGAGGGAGTACTGGGGATTGAACTCAGGAGCACACAGCCACTGAGCCACATCCCCAATCCTATCTTGTATTATATTTAAAGACAGGGTCTCATTGAGTTGCTTAGCACTCGTGATTCTCCTGTCTCAGCTTCCCAAGCAGCTGGGATTACAAGCATGCATCTTTCTTACTGGTGTCTAGTATAATTCCATTATATTTGGGAAACATGATTATAATTAAGTACAATGCTCATCTCTGTGACACATTTCTGTGTCAATATCATGAGCATTTCTTGCCCATGGTAAAAACTAAAATATTCTCATTGGTAATAGAAATGACAGTGATAGTGAGGTATAGTGATACATGCCTATAATCCCAGCGGCTTGAGAGGCTGAGGCAGGATGATAGCAAGTTCAAAGTCAGTATCAACAATTTAGTGAGACACAAAGCAACTTAGCAAGACCCTGTCTCAAAATTTTAAAAAAGCAAAAAGAGCTGGGGATATAGCTCAGTTGGTAGAGTGCTTGCCTCATATGCACAAGGCCCTGAATTTGATATCCCTAGCACCCTCCCCACCCCCACACCTCTCCGTGCCTCCCCCACACAAAAAAAGCACAAAGGACTAGGAATGTAGCTCAGCGGTTAAGTGCCCCTGGGTTCAATCCCTGGTATCAATGGAAAAAGATAGAAATGACAGTAATAATAAATGACATAGTAAATAATAAATAGTTGATGTCAGATGAACATAGTCCAATCTTTATTTATTTATTTATTTTTGGCAGGTGGTCTGATTGACAGCTTGGGTAATTTGAAGAACCTTGTGAAGCTCATACTGGATAACATTAAGATGAATGAGGAAGATGCTATAAAACTAGGTCAGATTTTTATTTTCCCTAATTGTTTTTTCCTAATTTTAAAAATGTAACTATGATACTATGAATAGTTAGCATAAGAGTCTTTGGCACTGGATGCGTCTACATGGGGCACTGTTTCATGCACTGTGAATATACTGGTTTCCGAGGCATTTCCCACACTCCCATTACAATCCTTAAGCACTATTTTATTCAAACTGTACACCATCTGACTGTCACCTTTTTAGAGGAGAAAACTGCAGGATGCATTTTTAACTCCCTTCTCCCTGGATGATAGACTATTTTGTATTTAAGGTGATATAAAAAGATTTATACTGTGGTTTCATAACTAAAACTTCATACATGAAATAAGATGCAGGAAAGAAGGTGGAACAAGAAAATTTTGGGAACACAGCAGAGTTCATGACTCGTCACAGAGATCCAGGCCCTCAAGGATAAGGGGAATTCCTGTTGAAGCAGCGTTGTCTAAATAAATGTCCCTTTTTCTTCTCTCTCTCTCCACCTCTTACCTCCCTCCTTGAGCAGGGAAAATGCTCCCTTTTTCCTTCATCAGTGTTCTTTTTCCTTCTGCTTTTTGCACAAAGATAATTCATTCCTATAATTCAAATATGGCTGACACCTCCTTACAGGATTCCTGAGAAAATTAATTAATCCAATTAAACTGTTTGCTCTATGCCTATGAATTGGACAGATCATCAAAGCTGGAAGGAGCCTGAAAAAATCCATTGGAAACTAGAATGCTTTATAGACTTGCCCAAGGTCTCATGACCTTGGACAAAAGTGGACAGTCTGATTCTGTTATTAAGAAATCAAAATCTGGGGCTGGGTTTGTAGCTGAGTGGCAGAGCACTTGCCTAGTACATGTGAGGTATTGGGTTTGATCTTCATCACCACTTAACAATAAATTTAAAAAAAAAATAAAGGCATTGTGAATTATTTAAAAATAGTTATAATAAGAGTATACATTGAAATGCATTAAAATACTACACATTTTACTACAGTTCTTCTCATGCTGCTGAGAGAATGACCTCCATAGGAAAGACTTGAATGGGGGCTGGGATTGTGGCTCAGTGGTGGAGTCTTTGCCTAGCACACACACGGTGCTGGGTTCGATCCTCAGCACCACACACACAAGAAAACTAAATAGACAAAGGGAAGGTGTTGTGTCCATCTACAACTAAAAATATTTAAAAAGAAAGAAAAAAAGAAAGGACTTGAATGGTTTGGGAAATTGAAAATTGAGGATTTAAAGAAAAAACAACTCTGACTCTTGAGGTAACTTGAGGCCTTTCTACAGAAAGAACATGGAAAGGTCTCTGTGCTGTTTTTCTTTGCCTTCTTTTCAGTCCATTAATCTATGTTTAAATCAAAGTGACTTGGTATCTTAATGTATTTCCTTTCAATTTTTTGCAGCTGCAGGTCTGACAAACCTGAAAAAGATGTGTTTGTTTCGTCTGACCCACTTGTCTGACATTGGGAAGGGAATGGATTACATAGTCAAGTCTCTATCAGGCCAACCCTGTGACCTTGAAGAAATCCAATTAGTTTCCTGTTGCCTTTCTGCAAATTCTGTGAAAACCCTAGGTAACTATTGTCTCCATGCCCTAAATGAAAACAGAGTAACAGAACATGTGAGACTTTTATACTAATGCACACTAAATCTTACAAATGGAAATTTAATTTAAAAAAACTGGGAAAGTTGATGAAGATGCTTAGGTATTATCCATCCTGTTTTTAATGATTTCTCTGTGATTGGAATTAAAATTAATTATTGATGGATGGTAGAAGAGAATTACAGAATAGTTGAAAATGTTATAACTGTGAGAGAAGGTGAAAAGGAAGAAAATAGGAAATTGTTTGAAAAATGTTTGTTTAAAACTTACTGTACATCCTGTCATATAACTACTGCCCATTAAATACTTATATGAATGGATAAACAAATGATATAAAGTAAAGACATAGGATTTCTTTAAATTCTCTCTGGCCTTGTATTCTTACCCATTACCCTGTTGAGATGGGGTTAAGTCTTTGGAGTCCCCATAGGGTATGCATACTAACTATGGAGAAATCTTTCCACATTTCTGAATAAACTGTTCACTTCAGATGTTTTAAGCTTTCAATTTTGGAAAAAAGGTAGTGTAACACTTTTAAAATCAGTCCATAAAACTGCTAGGAGTCTAGACAGATTACAAGAAAGCCATTTGTTTACAAATATAAGCTTACAGCTACAGAAACCCATGGTTGGGGCTGGGGGTGTGTTGCTCAGTGGTAAAGCACTTATATAATATATGTGAGGCCCTGGGTTTGATTTTCAGCACTGAAAAAGAAAAAACAAAGAAATCCATGGTTGGAAAAGGCTAGACAAATATTGGGAACACTGAGAAGGATGAGTATACTCCTTTATTTTTCTACTTGCTATCAGGAAGCAACCAGCTTAGAAGCGAAAAGAGCAAATGTATATACTCATGAAACATTGTCTAATTTTTTTAAAGGAAGTAGTTCATAGTAGTTTTGATAAGAAAACCTTCAGCTAGATTAAGCAAACATGATAAATATATGAATTAAAGAAAAGAATGCATTTCTTAGCTACAGTGATACTGATATATAATGTTTGTATGCAGAGTAGTTGTCTGTATTTTTTAATCTCAACATATTTGTCTTTGTCATTAAGATATATATTTGATAGTGAGCATAGAGTTAGTTTTACCTTTTTTTCAGTTCTGATTATCTCTGCCCTTTATTTGGAGTGTTTAGTCCATTCATACTTAATATACTTAAGTGTGGATGGATTTGTACCTGCTTCTATCCTATTTGTTTTCTTTTTTCTTTACCCTTATCCTTTTTTTTTTTTTTTGGACTTTCTAAAGTTTTGTTGGACACAGTGGAACCTTCCTGTAATCCCAGCAATTTGAGAGGTTGAGGCAGGAAGAACGTGAGTTTAGAGCCAGCCTCAGCAACTTAGTGAGGCCCTGAGCAACTCAGTGGGACCCTGTTTCTAAATAAAATATAAAAAGGTCTAGGGGATGTGGCTCAGTGGTTAAACACTGCTGAGTTCAATCCCTGGTCTCCAAAACAAACAAACAAAACAACAACAACAAAAACAAAAACCTTTCTAAGTTTTTATTATTAATATCACAACCATGATGTCAACAAAATCAGGTAGGCTGAGGTACACAAAAAAAATTCACCTGTTTTGTCTTCTTCTGTTTGTCCACATGATTAAGGGTATTTTGGAATTGGAAGCAACCTCACAGTGTATTTCAACCACCTCATTCTATAGATGCAGACAATGAGGCTTACATTGAGTGGCTATTCCATGGTGACATAACAACAATGTCCCATGATGCTTTTGACTCTGTGTAACCTGGAGTTCATTAATCAGAACCTAAGACCAGGAAATATCTGCCCACTTGGTCAAGGCTTTGGGGATTGGCAGTTACAGTACCTATCCAGGTACTTTTTGGGATAATTAAATTGATCAAGTCAAATGAGAGTTTGTATTGCCATCAGCAAAGAAGCCAAGGGTCAGAATTCTTCTAAGGATCTTTAAAAAGGCATATATAGTTATATGAAAATCTTTTTATTATATTTTGTTTTTCAGCTCAGAATCTTCATAATCTGGTCAAACTGAGCATTCTTGATTTATCAGAAAATTACCTGGGGAAGGATGGAAATGAAGCTCTACAGGAACTGAGTAAGAATGACAACTTGACCACAGTCAGATACTTGCATATGTGTCTGGATAGTTAGAAAAACACTAGCTTTGGCCCTGAGGTCTCTTGTACTCAGGGGAGAGCACCTTCCGTAGGAAAATCCTTTAATCCTTATGTAGTCACCGGTTTGCACATGCTCATTGAATCTGAGGCTCCCACATGATTGTCTCTTTCAGGGGTGGTAGTCTTCAAAGTTCAAGACAAATTTACTTTAAAAAGTAGTGATAAGGGCTGGGACTGTGGCTCAGCGGTAGCGCACTTGCCTGACATGTGTGAGGCACTGGGTTCAATTCTCAGCACCATGTATAAATAAATAAAATAAAGATCTATCAACAACTAATAAAATAAAATTTTAAAAAGTAGTGATAAGACTTCTTTTTAAATAAAATAATTTTTAGTTGTCGATGGACCTTTATTTATTTATTTATTTATATGTGGTACCAAGAATCAAACTCGGTGCCTCACATGTGCTAGCAAGTGCTCTACCACTGAGCCACAACTCCAGCCCAAGATTTTGAAGGTATGTAGTAATATGTGGTTATGATTTTTAAAAAGAAAGAACAGATACAGAGTTGTAAACCTAGCTCAGTGCACGAGTGAGGCCCTGGTTTCAATCCCCAGCATCAAGACAAGAATAATAAAAACCCAAACAAACAAACAAAAAACCAAAAACCCTGATGCATATGTTTGAGATTTGCTTCAAATAAAGGAGAAGGCCAGGCCTGGTGGCAGAGATCTGTAATCCTAGCAGTGGGAGGCTAAGACAGGAGGATTGCAGGTTCAAGGCCAACCTCAGTACTTAGCAAGACCCTGTCTCAAAATAAAAAGGGCTGGGGCTGGAAGGTGGCTCAGAGGTAAATTGCCCCTGAATTCAATCCCCAGTACCAAAAAAAAAAAAAGAAGGATGCAGAAGGAATCGGGAATCAGGTCAGGATTAAATGAGCTTGTCCATGATTTGCTGTTTGTTGAAAGTTGGATTATTAGTTTCATTACACTGTTTCACATCATATTTCTGTGTGTTTGAATATTTTGCGTAAAATAATCACAAAACAAGTAGATTGTCATTGCAGATGGAGTGGGCTGCAGAGCCACCAACTGGAAGATCCTTCCGTTCCCCACATGGCTCCATCCTTCATCGATGTTGAGATAATCTAGTTCCTGAACTGCTCTGTTTTCCAGTTGGCAGGCTGGACCTCCTCAAACAGCTCACTGTGCTGATGCTGCCCTGGTGCTGGGATGTGCTAGTCAGCCTGGCCAGCCTGCTGGAGCAACTGGAGACGGCCTCCCAGCTTGTCAAGCTAGGGCTGAAAGATTGGAGACTCACAGATGCGGAGATTAGAGTTTTAGGTGGGTATGCAAGAGCCAAGAAAAAAGAGGCCAAAGAAAGTTCTTTAATTGGCTTATTTTGCTCCTTTATTCTATTTTGCCTTCTTTTTTTTTTTTTTTTTTTTAAGTACCAGGGATTGATCCCAGATGCGCTTAACCTCTGATCCGTATCCACAGCCCTTTGCCTCCTTAAAAAAAAAATGTGTTCAAAGAGTGTTCACACACATTAAGGAGTTGCATTGAGTTGGAAAGGATATGTCTTTTCAGAGATACTCTTGGGGGTGTCTAGACTTGTGATGAGGCATTTTTTTTTGGTAGGGGTCTTTTAGCATTTTACAATTCTATAAGCAGGAAGCTACCTACTTTGCCCATTCCTAAGGCTTGCCACAGACCAGAGAAGGAGAATGATGTGTTTAATGAAATAAGAACTGAACTAGGCAATGATTTACCATTTGGCTTTAATATTCTAGTATCTTCTAGCCTCCATGAGGGCAAAACTGCAAGTGAGGGCTGGGGATATGACTCCAGTGGCATAATGTGAGGCCCTAGGTCAATTCCCAGCTCTGCAAATAATCAATAATAAATAAGTAAACTGCAAGCAAACGAATGAGTGAAAACTAACACCTAGTTAGTAGTGATTTATTCTCCAAATTTTCTAAGAAAAGAATTTGTAGAATTATCATCATACCCCATAAAAGATAGCCATTATTATACTGGTTTATAAGGAAGCTTAGACATGGGGCTGGGGCTGGGGCTCAGTGGTAGAGCCCTTGCCTTCCACGTGTGAGGCGCTGGGTTCAATTCTCAGCACCACATGTAAATAAATAAATAAATATCCATCAACAACTAAGAACAATTTAAAAAAATGAAGCTTAGACATAAAAAGGGTTGAGCTGTGTGCAGTGGTGCATGCTTGTAATTTTAGTAGCTCAGGAGCCTGCAACAGTAGTGTTGCAAATTCAGAGCCAGCCTCAGCAACTTAATGAGACCCTAAGCAACTTAAGTCAGGTGCTGGGACTGCTCTGTCTAGCCCCTCCTAAGGCTCTAGGTTGATGAAGAGGTTAGCTGCATTGATTTTGGATCAGATACACCTGGCCACCCCTTCCACTTGTTGGATATGTGACCTGCAACAGATTAAATCCTCTGAGCCCCAGTTTGCTTATCTACCAATAGAGGACAATTATAATACCTACCCTATTAGCAATGATGTGTTAATCAGTAGTTGAGCTGATGCATGTAAAGTCAGAAGATGCTCAATAAATGGTACTGTTATCATTATCCTCTGTGGACTTCCAGGGCAACAGATACTACAGTTAGTATCCTTTAAAAATCAAAAAGCTTTCTCTGCTTGCAAAATACAGTCTAGCATGCTCAGCCTTGAAGCATGAGGCCTTCCACGACGGAGCCTCCCCCACCCTGCACTCTGCCTTTACCTTCTGCCACATCCCCTACCTGCATGAAGCTTCACCTGGGGTCCTCTCAGCACTCCCCAAGTCATCTTTTTGTTCATGGATGTCCTATAGGTTGTCCCTCACCTATATTCCTTTTAACCCAACTTACATATCTCCTCCATGGTTAAATATTTTTTCCTCTTCTGCACCCTCTTGTGAATCCTAGATGTTTCAGGCTTTTTGACTGTGACCACATTTTATCTCACGATCTAAAACATGTGTACATATACATAATCATTTTTACAAAAAGTGTTTTGCTATGTGATACAGTTATTTTCTTTTTCTATCTTATTTTCCTTTTTAAAAGACCAATTGCAACCCATAAAATTTTTCTAATGCTTTTCTAAAGGAGGGAATGCCTTGTAGCTTGGAGAAAAAGAAAAACAAAACAAAACAAATACTTCCCTAATCCATCCGTGCCCAAGATGCCAGCCTAGACCCAGGGCTTCTGTTTCCAGTGGTCACTTCAGGCTCTGTTTCTGCGGCTGTGTGTATCTCAATCTAGGTCGTCTTACTTCCTGCAGCGGTTCCCCTCCCTCTTCTCCAAGTGACCCAGATGGGGAGAACAGCCACTTGTGCTTTATTCTATAAGAGTCCCTAATATACTCATGAGGGTAGCAGATTTACTGAATGCTTGTGGGTGGCGTGATAGGATAGCTCTAAATAGCCAGTTACTCACATTTAATATTGGCCCTTCTCCACTCTCCAAATATGCCTGATTATTTCTGCCAACTCAGGCGCCAGCTGCTGGTTGATGGCCTTGTCCTCTTTCTATCTTCATCTCTTCCAATCCTCTAGCGATTCTAAAAAGAATTCCTTTCATTCCATTCTTCTACTGCTGGGCTCTACAAACATTAGGGACAACAGATTTATTTCCCACTTTATGAATCATAGCATTTCTTCCAGTAGGAGAAGCCAGAGATAGGGTTCATTTTGTTTTGTACTCTGTGTGAGTGTGTGTGAGTGTGAGTATGTGTGTGTGTGTGTGTGAGTGTGTGTGTTGCTGATGATGGAACTCAGGGCCTCAAGCATGCTAGGCAAGTGCCCTACCACTGAGCCACCCTCAAATCCTATGTTTTTTCCTTTTTTAATGAAGCATAATATACTCACAGAAAAGTGCATGAAAGTACATAGTACAATGAATTTTCAAAAGGTAAATATATACCAGCACCCAGATCAAAAGATGGAAGATGATCAGCTCCATAGCTTCCTCTTCCTGAATGGCAACCATCATTCTATAGATTAGTATGGGCTGTTTTTATACTTTATGTACATGGAATGATACAGTATATATTCTTTTGTGTATGCTTCCTATGTGTATGAGATGTGACTATGTGTAGCTGCAGTTCATCCTCATTACAATAAAATCTTCTGTGTGGAGCTGGAATTGTAGCTTAGTGGTTGAGCACTTGCCCAGCATGTGTGAGGCACTGGGTTCGATCCCCAGCACCACATAAAAATGAGTTTTTTTAAAAAAGGTCTATTGACAACCAAAAAATTTAAAACAAACAAACAAAAACTTCTATGTGACTATACCACAACTGATTTTCCCATTCTGCTGTTGAGTAATTCTAGATGAAAAGGGATTCTATGAGGATGTGGCTTAGTGGTAGAGTGTTTGCTTAGTGTGTGTGAGGTCTTGGGTTTGATGTCCACATACCACCCCCCCCAAAAAAAAAAGAAAGAAAGAGAATAAAACGGATGCTGTAAATATGTTTGGATTGTTGGTAAACATGTTTATGTTTAGTAGAAGCGTCAATTTTCCAATGTACCTGTATCCAACACTAGCTTTAAAAATAATGGTTTCTTGGCTGGGCGCTGTGGTGCACACCTGTAATCCCAGCAGCTCTGGAAGCTGAGACAGGAGGATAGCAAATTCAAAGCCAGACTCAGCAAAAGCGAGACTGCTGCTGGGCTGGGGCTGTAGCTCAATGGTAAAGCACTTTCCTCCCATGTGTGAGGCACTAGGTTCAAACCTCAGTACCATACGATACTGTGTGTTCATCTATAACTAAAAAAACATTTAAAAAACAAAGTGAGGCAGTGAGACGCTGTCTGTAAGTAAAATACAAAATAGGGCTGGGGATGTGGCTCAGTGGTTGAGTGCCCCTGAGTTCAATCTCTGGTACCCCTCACCACACACACAAAAATAATGGTTTCTTTATTCCACACAGAAAACAGTGCTTTTTTATAGCACCTACTATGTAAATAAAGAATGTGTTTAGAGAATGTGTTCATATGTTGAGCTCCCCAGTAAGCTGTGAGCTCTTTGAGAACAGGCCATGCCGTTGGACTTGGTTTTGAGTGTATAACCCATAGTGGATGCTCAATAAATACACACGGTATGAATGAACAAACAAGCCTACAGGAGTTCTGCAGTTTGCCCTGAGAGTAAGCTCAGGTATTTGTGGGTTAGGGCCTTGAACTTTGCTATAGTAAATGCTGTTTTCCTTCATATAAAATCATCTCTAAATCTAAAACATATTTGTATGATTTCATGACCTCTTTACAATATCCAGCCAACTGACTGTTCAAATGGAAAGCCTCAGTCTTAATTAAGTTTCCTGCCTCTGGTCTATAACACCTGTCCTGGATCAGACCTGGCTTGGGGATGCCTATCCCCATTTAGACATGCTATGCATGATGGATGAGGCACGATGTGCCCTCCAATGGGGTAATGAATGCAGGTCAGTTATAGGCGATAGGCAGGCTAATGAAATACAGGCTCTGTAAGAGGAGGAGGGAGGCAGTGCATAATGAGAAACAGGATGGCTGAGATGAATTGAAAACAGCGGTTATTTTGAAAAAAGAGCCTTCTTAACAAAGGTGTTAGACACTCCCTGGTCCCAACCGAAACCTGGCCTCATAAGTAGTCACTTTGTACTCTCCTTTCTTTCTTTTTTTGTAGTGGGGATCTAACCCAGGGGTGCTTTACCCCTGAGCTCCATCCTCAGCCCTTTTTTTTTTAAAGTCAGGGTTTCACGAAGTTTCTAAGGGCCTCACTAAGTTGCTGAGGCTGGCCTTGAACTTGTGATCCTCCTGTCTCGGCCTCCTGAGTTGCTGGGATTACAGGCAATTGCCATGGCGCCCAGCTCATTCTGATTTTCAAGCCTCTTGAAGTCCAAAAGGCAAGTTAGGTTTTCCTTGGTTCTCACTGCTCTTCTAGTCCACTCCTTTTTTTTTTTTCCTTTTTTTAAATTAAGTTTTAAATTTATATGTAACAATGGAATGCATTACAATTCTTATTATACATATAGAGCACAATTTTTCATATCTCTGGTTGCATATAAAGTATATTCATACCAATTCATGTCTTCATACATGTAGTTTGGCTAATAATTTCCATCACATTCCACCATCATTTCTCACCCCCTGCCCCTCCCTTTCCCTCCTACCCCTCTGCCCTATCTAGAGTTTGTCTAGATGCCCCCCTCTCTAACCACTATGAATCAGCTTCCTTATACCAGAGAAAACATTCAGCATTTTGTTTTTTGGGGATTGGCTAACTTCACTTAGCATTGTCTTCTCGAACTCCATCCATTTACCTACAAAAGCCATGGTTTTATTCTC